TTGCCTATCCGTCAACCATAAATTCTTGTAATAGGTTTTCTCTATACAAAATTGTGGAATACTCAATAGACCTTAAAACAAATCAATAAGAAAAATAATCCATTTGTCTAAGGATGTTGCCTCTCTAATCCTCTCAGTTAGCACCTTCTCTTTCTTCAATAATATCCATTACTACACTTTGTACCTTTAGATCAAGGATCCTATACAAAAAAAAAAAAAAAAAAAAAAAAAAAAAGAATGAAGAGACAAATAAGCTGGATGAGCCTCATGGATCCTTCTTAATAATCCATTACTATGTAGGCAAATAATAATATCACAAAGTGCATTATGCTTCGATCCATCTCTAAACAATATGATAGCAATTTCTTTAAAATTAGTTAGAAGATTATATCAACATCTATTACTCTCATTCATAAAGTACAAAGAAATAACAAGATCTACTTCCACTACTCCTTCATTCTGCACCTGAGATAGTATTTCATGTGCATGTCTATAAAATCCAAAAAATGGATTATTCTCTCTCAAAACTTCTCCAATTTTCTACATAATTTGGCTCAATAAACCATAATTATGTCGCATTCTTCTATCTTGTGCAAATGATGCATTGTAGATATAGAGCTATGCATAAGTGAAGTCAATGCCTCCAAATGATCCACATGGCATTTCTAGATTAAACAGTTTGCAAGTAGGCATCATTCACGAGAAGAATTATTGGAGGATTTACAAATTAAAATGAATTAAAATGAATAAATAAAATAATAAATATTTTAATTCTTTATTTATTAAATAATATTTATTGGAAAATATATCATTATTTAATTTTATATTTAAATAGATATATGTATATATTTATACATATGAAGTTGAATATAAAAAATCTCATTTTTTTATAATAAAATGAATTTATAAAATAAATTTGATGTGGTTGGAGTAAATTAACTTTGATTGTCATAAAAATATTGCAAATGAATTCATTTGCTTGCTCTGGAATAAGACGGCCCAAAATATCCTGGTCAACAACTTAATTGTTTGTAAAATGATACTGATCATATACAATGGCCTCTTTTCATCATCTGACAAAACCTACAACGGAAGGCACGAACAAAATCAGTAACCATCAAACAAACTAATGTAAGAAAAAAAAAACTTAGAAACTTGCTTGACTTGTGTTTTACCTCCTCATGTGTAATTGTGTTTTACTTCCTCAGGGGTGGCTTTTGCCTACGGTGGCTTACCTCTTGAGGTGTACATTAGACACTGCGGCAAGAGCTGGAGCTGCACAGGAACTATAACGGAAGACGAACAAAATCAATACCCACAAAACAAATTAATGTAAAAAAAACTTAGAAACTTGCTCGATTTAAGTTTTACCTCCTCATGTGTGGCTTCTGCCTACGGCAGCTTACCTCCTAAGGTGTGCACTAGATTAGCTTCCAACACCGTAGCAAGAGCTGGAGCTGCACCCACTCCTAGCGGCACCACCATTCAAGATCATCAAGCGTTGCTTGTAAAATTCACTCGTAATAATAATAAGAGAAGTAAGAAAAGATCCAACTGCAAGAGCTCATTGAACCACCGAGATCATTGTGATGAATCCCTTGCATTCCCCACTCCCAGCGGCACCAGCATTCAGGATCATCAAGCCATGAATCTTTCCCTGGTCCACATGCTCTCCTATTCACTCATCACTTGAGAAGAAGAATGCAGAAGAATGCTTTATGTCTGGGAGGCGGCACACGAAACATATCGAAACAACACATTAACATCCCAAAACAGCAAGTTATCAGTTCTGTTAAGGGCCTGTGAACTCTAATAACGTGAATTTTTTTTGATGAAAACAAAGTAGAGAGCATGCGGTGAAGGAGAGCCACCACTTGTCTCCTCGCACTTGTCTAGTTGAGCGATCTTAATATATATATATATATATATATATAAGTTATTTTATACTATTTTGTATGTGGAAGAATTTATATGAATCTGGTATTGCTGACATCAAGAGGTGTATAGTCTGGGCAGAAACCCCATGGATCTGGAGTTCATGTGCATGCTGTGAATCAGAGGTGATGACGTGGAAAATAAGGAGGCGGCGGGAACCCAGTCAGCAGAATACAGGTCACATTAATTTCCACACACAATTCTGGTCAAAAGGGCAGTCAGTCGCCCAAGTCCCACCCACCAATACTGCCGACGCGATCCTATTTAAGACCCCGGGTTGGAAAAGTAATAAGAAAAAAGGAAAAGGAGAGGAAAGAGAGGGACAAAAAGGCAAAAGGTGGTGTGGTCCCATTTCCTGTAACTCTGAGTCAACTCCACATGCTGCCCGCCCTACATCTCTTGACTGCACCCGGCTGCCCATACAAACGGGCAGCAGCACCAGATCTCCTCCAGAACAAACCAAGGGATCAGAAAAACATCCTCGTTGGATAGATGTGAAATGGATGGATGAAATTATAGCTGGAACCCACCTCCCACTTGAGCTGTAGGGACAACAACTGAGTGGGGCCAAAATCTCCCTCGTACTTATATATTTGTTTATTATAGATTTAGATATTTTAAAGTGTATTTTATGCCCAACTGGACAATGTTCCAACTTGGCAACGAGCCCTTTCTCTTCCTTTTCCTCTGTCTTTATGCCAAATGTGTGTAAAATTGCACGCAGCATTGACTTTCAGATGTATATATACAGATATATATATATATATATATATATGCAAATATATATTTATTTTCAAGTTAGACCTACCCACTGAAGACATTAAAAACTGTTGATGAGCTACAATGCCCCAAGTGATGAATGAACGTGGAATGAACGAGGGAATGCCCACCTTGCCTCTTGTGTTTATTCTTCATATTTCTCTTTTGTTTTCCTTGGTACATCTTTTCTTTTTTCTTTTCTTTTATTTTATTTTACTTGTTTTATCCCATTATGATTCTGCATGCTCTGGCTTACATGAAAAGGGAGATGGGATCACGGGATTTCTTGCACACTGATGAAGGCAGATGAAAAGGGTGAAGGAAAGGAATAGGAAAGTCAGGGGATGATTAGGATGTTTGGTCTTGCCATTCCCATTCAATTCAATTCATCATGTGATGATGCTGATGAGAGAGAATTGGAGAGAGTGGCTGTCTGTCTGCTTCTACTTCTACCTTCCCTTCTCTAGCCGTATTTAATATCATTTACTGTGGGTGATGCCCTAAAAGTTAAAGTAAATTAGTTGGGCACTCTTCATGAAGAATATTGTTATTGTCTCAACTTATTGCTATTGTCTAGATGGTAGAAATCAAAGGGTCAAGTCTCTGACAATCATTTACCATAAAAATATTTATATATATATATATATAGAGAGAGAGAGAGAGAGAGAGAGAGAGAGAGATTCTGGCATACATATGTTTCTATGTGATGGGGAAGGCTTAGGCATCAAAAAATCAAAATAATAATAATAAGTAGTAGATGTAGAACAAATTTTCCACTCTGTGATCACCCTGATCTGGGGCAGACCAAAAGGGTCACAGGCCCAAATGTTCTTTCACAACACCCTGTGAAGACACATGCAACCTTTGGTCAAATATGCAGCAGGACAGGACTATATACATCCACCTACCAATATTACAAAAAGAGAGTGAGCAAGCAAACAGGCAAGCTGTGTGTCTTTGCAGAGCTGGACACATGCTTTTTGCCTCTCAGTTGTGTCACCAGTCAATGCATGGGTTTCCTTTATTGATATCACCCCATTCCTATTCCATAAAAACTGATAGTCTGTGTCCATAGTTGTAGTACTGCGATGGCTAGTGCAAAGAATTAAGTGTGAAAAACAAATTATTAAGGTTGGATTTATTGGGTCAAGAAGTAAGTCACAGGCACATGAGGTAGAAAGTAATAGTCAGATACTGCACACAAACTTATGGACTCTCTGCCTTGGACCATATGAACTAAACAGCAGTGCACACAAAAATGAGCCCATTGTTATTATTGATGTTGTTATGCCTATCATTTACTTTCACCACAATGATGTTAGCATATGGGACCTGTCTATTACCAATACATTTTCCTGATCAAAGAGCATCACCCATAAGTTGTTTGTTTGCAGTATTAGAAATAAATAAATAAATAAACAAACATTTAACTGAATAGCTGTACATGTATAGACCATACATACATTTTTAAAAATGCACTAGTTTATCTCTTTATTCACAAAAAAACATGCAGAATCATACCAAGAATGTGATTTCTAAAGCTGATTGAATTATTGTTTCTACAAGTCTCAATCTTAATGAGCAGTGAGCAAATAAGTCAAGACTTACAGACACATGCACAAGGAGATTACAGTACGATGCCAAACAGTGTACGAGAAATTTAACCCTAGATGAGAAACGGCAACAGGGCTCCCGACGAACCTCAGGATTTTGCCTACAAAGTCCGATTATGCACCGGGGAATCGCACCTCGAATCTCGTACTTGGGGCTGCACATTGCAGTCGGCAACAAGGGGATGGGACAGAATCCGTGTGTGAAGAGCATCGTCCTTAACAGTAATCTAAAGGCCGCCGCGCAGTTGGTGGTGGTGGTGAGATCCTGCCGCTGCTGCGACGAAGGGCGCCGCGCATCTGCGACAGTCGTCGGTTGCAGACTTGCGGTCCACGCTCTTCTCGCGAGGCCTGCGCGTAATGTCCTGGCGGATTCCTGACTGACTGACTGACTGACCGCGAGAGAGCCCCACTCCCAGCCCATCTTCCTCCTCGGCGGCCTGGTCAATGCCTTCGCACGGACCCGCGCCTCCTGCCACCAATCATCAGTCCGCTCTCACTCTGATCCGGGTCGAAGCCGCTGCGAAGCCGCTTCATCTAACCAGCGACACCTGTCTGGAGCTACATAGAAGCCTCGTCGATGCTCCCATTTGCTCACCTGGTAGCGTATGCTTTTTGAATTCGTGAGCGTAGGATTTCTCGGGACACGAGGCACAGAGGGTAGATGATCTTTCTCCGTTTTGTTTTTTGTAATTTTCTGGCGTGAAGAGGGCAAGTGAGTAGTCTGGCAGTGGTTAGATTGCGGTGAGAATGTCGGTACAAGGAGGGATTGAAAGATGAATGCGAGATAATAGAAGGGTCGATTGCTTTGTGAGAGTCGGGAAAGTTACCTCTGTGGAGAGTTTCGGCGAGGGAGAGGGAGAGGAGGTGGGATGGTTCTAGAGGCCTTTTGAGGAAGGCGTGGTGGAGGGTGCGCTCGCGGTGAGTTGTTCCGTCGGGCGATCTAAAAGATCGTTGGGAGGTTCTAGGTCAGCCTCTTATGTCATCGTTGCCCCTCCCTCATCATCGTTGGGATTGCAATGATCGGAATCTAGTCATTCTTCTAAAGGTTTGCGCAGGTGTTCGCTCGGGTGGAATCCGTCGAGACTCCGGCAGTTGTTTGTCGTAGAACTTGGTGGGGGAGACGAGGCCGAGGGAATCACTGCGTAGTGGAAGCCATCTCTTGTTTAAGAATTTGGAAGGTCTGGTGCACAAGCAACTTTAACGAGGCGATCTAAAAGAAAGACAAAAGATTTTAGTTGCTACATTCGATTTGCGCTTGGATTGCGTGTTGGAAATTGAGCAGATCGCATCATGAGCGGGTGTGGATCAGGAAGCTGTCAAGGAAGAGATGGAAATCTTGCTCCATACAATTACTACGGGCCGCCACCGGGCAGTAACAATTATGTCGTCAACAGCAAGATTATGGTCGTGGCTGTCGCGGTTCTCTTCGCTGTCGTCCTCTTCATCCTCTGCCTCCACATCTACGCCAAGTGGTTCTGGCGCAATCAAGGTGCCATCGTCGCAAGCGATGGCACCTTGCGTACGTTATCATGGCGAAGACGCCGTTACACTGTCCCTGTGAACGCTACTCCGGTGACGCAGGCAGTGGGGCTTGAGCGGGCTGTTATTGAAGCTCTGCCCACTTTCGAATTCGACGGTGAGAGGGCAAAGCGTGGGTTCGAGTGCGCGGTTTGTTTGGAAGAATTTGAGTTGGGTGAGAAAGGCCGCACGTTGCCGAAGTGTGACCATAGTTTCCACTTGGATTGTATTGACATGTGGTTGCACTCGCACTCGACATGCCCGTTGTGTCGCACGAGTGTGGGAGCTGATGAAACTGAGAAGAAGACCGAGGCCGCCACCGTGATGCAGATAAGCGAGCCTCCTCAGATGGAAGCGCCCGTTATGGGTGACGTAGGAGCGCCGTTCATGGCGGCCATGCGAGCTTCCAGGAGGAGCCAACGGAGCCGGGGACAGTTGCCGGCGTTGAATAGTTCCCCAAGAGGCAATAGTTTGCCCCGCACTGCGGAGGATCAGGGCGGGGAGAATCATCGCCGAAGTGGTACGTCGGAAACGGCCGTTGCGGTTGATCAGCAGCAAAACATAAAAGATTACGAGACACCGTCCGGAATCCCGTCCAATGTGTTATTCTGGGGGAATCATGCGCAGATGAGCAGTGCAGGTGCAGGAGGGAGTGCAGAAGCGAGGGCGGCGTCCAGTATTCGTGCGCCGTTTCAGGTTACTATCGACATTCCGAGGTCTGGTCCAGCGGCTGTCAGCAATTCGTCGAATGTTTTGTCGCCGATGGCGCGTGCTTCAGCGAGCTTCCGACGTTTGTTGAGCCGAGGGAAGAGTGTGGTGTCGCCCCAAACTGGAGAAGATGGTGTTGACGAGGGCGGGCCTTCTTCTTCACCCCGTCCACCACCACCACATGCCTGAGGATTTCGTGAGCAGGTGCTGTTAAAGTGGAAATTTTATTCTGGAAGAAAACTGATACTTCCCTGGTAGACATAAATGCCCGACCATGCAAAGGATTTTGTGGGATTTGCACCTGATATCAACCAAGCTATCTAGCGAACGTCACGATTGCGTTGAGTGTTACCCGGCGAAATCCCTAAGCCTACATCGCCGATTACGATGCGCACTTTCCTCAGTAAGGTCAACCTTCGCATTGAGGAGGAAATCGGCGCTTTAGTGCCCACAAAGCATGCCCTTAGATCCCAGATGTGGAATTGCAATGGGAATTGAGAGCAGGGTACACTGCAAGTGCGTTTTAGGATGTGAAGTGTGAGCATTGGAGATCTGCGTCTCTGCCGATTAGGTCAGGTCAGCATCACATTTGACACTGGAGATGCAAAATAGTAGCTATTCCTTCTTCACTTCTTCCGATGGTGTACCGTAGTGTAATATATAGCGCTAGATGTGCAATAAGACGCCACAGTCTGAGGCTCAAGATGTAATATAGATCATGCACGAAGCAGTTAAGCATCTCTAGGTTAGGAGATTGAATGCCACAGTGCTTCAGTAACATGTAGAGTTGTAAATAAACGGGAAATCGCCTTCTGCAAGGCATCTCACTGACACGAACCTAGTGAACATATCAAGGTAATTGCCATTTTACGATAACCAGCTTATTGCAAGGCAAGCGCCACAACTGATTTTACGGCCACGGAAATTTTTACCCATTTTCGCCACGACTCTCTTTCTCCTCAAATTCAATCTCAATCCTCCACCACGCGACTCGGTTGCGTCACAATTCCATCTTCCGTTCTTCACATGAATCCTACTTGTGAATGCTGGCTGCACTCGGAGATCTGATGCCTTTTTTTTACTTTTTTTCCTTTTCCTTCTTTACAAGCCATCCGTCATGCTTGATGCTCATCACCCAGTTGCAATGCCTCATGGGGATCTTCACCAACTTGGGTGTCAGCTTGATGGGTACACTGCAGGATAAGGTCGCAGCAAAGTACCGGATCGAACAGTTACTGTCAGTGTGCTCAGAGCACCGTGTCCCACATACTCACTCTCTCTCCACCCGCCCATTTTTGTTAAAGCCACCTTCGTCTTTGATGTTGTCTTCTTTGTATTCTATATGCCACTTGTTGGAGTTGTGTCATCAGGGAGACATTGACGTAATGGATGAGGAACCGTTGAGCAGAAAGTTGAGAAGATAACGAGAGAGTTTCAAGGTTGGAATTATGAGAAAATTCAATTGTTTTTAGTGGGATAGGAGGAAGATGGGGCATATTTTTTGGGGAGTATTAGAAGGGTGAAGCTAAAACTTTTAGGTTCTACCTAAACCTTCTGTCTAAAGTTGCCTTTTGTTTGTTTGTTTTATATATATTTAGAAAAAGAGAATTTATAGTAAAAGGTCACCAAGGTAAAAAAGGAATCATTTCTACTTCATTAAAATTCTAATTTTTTTAAAGTGAATTTTGTATGTCATTTGTTGTTTGGCTCTACACTACTTATTTCTATGATGAGTCTACTACATTATTTTGTTGTGCATCTTTGCTTTGATACATTTCTTATTATTTTGGTTTAGGATTGTGGAGTGTATATAAATGAAAGATTTTGAAATGGTAGAAGAGGTTGTTGATGATAAAATTACAAACATATATTAAGTAGCAATTCTAAATAGAGATTTACATGATGCCAAGACATTTTTGGAAAGTGAGTATATGCTTGCATCCATAGGTAAAGTAATCTTTATTAAAGAAGGTATTTTCAAGAAGGTTATTTGAATTAATCACTATAATTTCTTAGAACCAAAATTTCTCCAAAACCTATATATATATAATAAATTTGATTGCTAAAGTCAAACAAGTAATAACAAATTTTGGAAAAATTGCATATATAACTATAATATATTTCTACTAATTTTTTTCTATGTGATAAATGATAAGTCTAATATTTATGTAATAATTAAAGTACTTTTTAAAATCTAAATTATAAACTTTCTTTTGATAGTCCTAAAATTCTTTATATTTTTTATATCATTAGGACAAAAAAAAATTCTCTTGTCATTAAACAAATCAATATCTTATACATATTTAAAATAATAAAATATATTTATGATTATTATTTAATAGTTTATTATTTTTATTTTTAAAAAATAAGATTCTTATTTCTAAACAAATTCTTATCTTTTAACAAAGAACATTTAGTAGTAATTTAATATCTATCATCAAAACACTAATATAATGATAAATCCAAAGCTTTAGATTATAATGAAAATAATAAAATATGAGTTTTTTTTAATGAAGTTTTTATTAAAAAATTAATTAATAATCATGTTTAAATTAGAAGATTATTAAAAAAAATTACATCCATCTTTAAATTAATAAATTAAGAGCATTACAAAATAATAATAATAATAATAATAATAATAATAATAAAAAAAAATCAATATATGATAAGTATGATCCAAATTCTTTTGAATGAATTGATCCACATATATTTCTTTAAAGTAGAAGAAATAATAAAATAAAATAAAAAATGTTAAAATGACATAAGATTTTATTAAATCAAGCTATCTATCTTAACCATCATGAGAAAAAAAATGACCTTTAGATTATTTAATTACTACTAGATCCATAATTAATAAAAATCAACCATATTTATCACTATACTAATCTTCATTAGTGCTACAATCATAGCAATTTGGATAATCTCTTGTCTCTCACAAAAAATCCTAATTTTTTTATTTAAAAAGGAACCAAAGACAAATCTATATTCAGTCTTCTTGCTACTTCTCCCATCTGTTTTTTGTGTCGCCCTCTATTTCTCATATCATGCTCTTACCTTCTTATTGGCATAATTCAATGCTATGTAGATTCATTCCCATAATGCATAGGTTATTTGTAAAGTTTGTGTTGGCTAGGGAGGTGGTTTAGTATAAGTGACTTTATACATGTTAAATGCCACACATGCCTATTAAGAAGCTTCATCAGTTGCAATTAAATTACATCTTTACAAGTATAGAGCCTAAGTTCTAAGGTATTCAGTTCCAAGTATCTTCTTTTTTGACTAATTGTGTAAAAGCAATGATCAATTGTTTAATGAAAATATGCATTCTTTTGTTTTTATAGAATGCAATGGACGGCTTTTATACACTTTTTGTTTAGCAATGTATATGATAGCCTTAAATTTGTTGAAACATACTTCTAAATCTTGGAAAATCTATTGCATGCTTCTACATTATTTGAATAGCTCCTTGAGTTCCTTGTCCATGTTGTTATAATGATATTCACTTGTTATAGTTTTTATTTTTTATTTTTTATTTTTTTTTATAGACAATTCAATATCAATTTTGTGGATTAGAATATAGTGGCATGTGGCCTTAGTAATTGAATGAAAATAATTGGGATATCTTTGATTAAAGCTATGCCAATTAGTATTGAATAATGTTGATTGTTATTTACTTTTGACATAGAAGAACTTTTCATAGCAAGTTATGGTGCATTGAGAGATTGTAACATTAATTATCTTCAAGACAAAGTATATAAGAACCAACTCAATTGTAGTAGTTGGAGGGATGGTGATGGATTAGGTGGTGGTGGAAATATGATAAGTCATTACCATTTTTAGAATTATAAGATCATTCAATAATTAAGATGATGAATTTATACTTAGAACTTTCAAAATCTTTGTTTAATTTTAGTTTGATGGTATTGTTGATTGATTGAGTTAAGAAAAGATGGAGAAAAAAGAGAGAGAAAAAGAAAATATAGTAGTGCCGTATAACATGAATTTTCACTTAGAATGCATCAAGCACCTAACTGTAGAAGATAAATAGATAACAAGAAGTTCCTATCAAGTATAATAGTATCTCAATTAAATTCTAAGTAATCCTTAACAATCCTAATGAAATTTTAACCAATATAAAAGAAATTTAAAAGAAATTACAAAAGAAATATAAAAAATCATAAATTAATCTCAAAAGAAAATAATAAAGAAATTCTAAAGAGTTAAAAAAATAATACCTTCAAATAAATAATAATAATCTTCAAAAAAATATTAAAAATAAAATTACTAAATAAATCCTAAATAAATCTTAGATAAATTCTAATTAAATCTTAACATAGTCCTAAGAAAATTCCAATGAAATTCTAACAATCCTTAAAAAACTCTAATTTTTTTTTAATCAAATTTTAATTAAATCTTAGACTAAAATCTAATGAAATCCTAACCAAATACTAAACCAAATCTTAATTAAAATTTAATAAAATCCTAATGAAATTTTAATAAAATTCTAACCAAACCTAAATCTCAAATAAATCCTAAACAATCTAAAGGAATTCCTAAATAAATCTTAAGCACTTTCTAAAGTTGTTTTAAAATATCAATCAATAAGTAATTAAGAAGTATAAAAATTTTGAGGAAAATTAAACTCACCAATTTAAAGAAAAGATTCCATACCTCTCCAATATTGACCACCTTCCTTCTCCAATTTGAATGTTGATCTTCGAACAATATTTTCTTCTTGTTAAACTATTAAATTGCTTCAAAATTTGATTGGTGTATAGATTTCTAAGTCTTAATTGCTCTCACCAATTTGTGCTTGAATTGAATTGGCAGATGTTGAAAGATTGCAAAAACCATCATTGATCCTAAATTTCAATTATCTAAGACTATAATCCACAAAATCTTTCATAATTGTCAATCTAATCATTCAATTACTATCTAGTTTTTTAACCACATTTAGAACAAATATAATTATAGAGTAACAAAATTTCACTCATTAATATACTATAACACTCATAATATTTTTAAATATGTTAATTTCTTTTTATTTCTTATAATTTAAACTTACTAAATATATCTCTTACTTTGAAAAGTCCTTAAAATCTTAATATTCCTTCAATTTGCATAAAATAAAATTTTAAAAATCTTCTCACAAGTTTGCTTTCAAATTCCATTCTTTAATGAATGTAAGAAGCTTGGAATTGTAAAAATCCTCTCACAAGTATGCTTTCAAATCTTGCTCTTTTTTCAACCAAAAAATCTCAAAGTCACCATAAGTGCGTGGTTTTGTGTCTCGGGATCTGATTTTGACCTTGGTTCACAATTGATTGTCTCCAATAATCAATTCTTTTATTTTGAAGTAATTTTTGTTAAAACCTATTCTTAATTCTTTATTAAAAATGCCTATATTAATTATTTATGTCATTTATTTTGATTTGGCTCACTTATATTTTTACAATGTAAGTTGAAGTCTCTTTTTTAAGAAGATATCATTAGCATCTATTAATTTTTACTACCTCCTTGTCTATTATCCATATTTCTAAGATAATTTACAAAATTATTATTATTCAAACTTATCTTTAATATAACTTTTTTTCTTATTTTAATATATAATTATATTATTATACAATAATGGCATGCTTTATTTAATAAATCATAGAAAAAAATTAAATATATTATATTTCGACTTCTAATCTTCTAAAGGGATTTCATAGAAGCTCCAAGTTCTTATATATTTTTCTCATATTGCCCTTGATTGAAATTAGCATATATTTAAATTAGATTTTTATTTTTATTATTTTTTATAAGTTTTTTTGAAAAGATGTAAATATGCAATTACATATGTTGGATTCAACTTGGAAAAATATTGGATGAATGTTGATGAGTTGATTGTTCTTTAGCAAAGAGTATTTGGATGATTTATTAGTACTAGTACTGGTGCCGTACCTAAGTTGAAACTTGATATAGATCCAAGTATGGCACTTCATGGTTAATGACGACTCTCTTTTGGATGTTTTGGAGGGACCATTATAGGCTAAAGTTAATAAAAGCAAAAGTGTAGCTATAATGATGGCAAAAGCTTACAACAATAAATAAATAAATAAATAAAAAAATACTATGCATACTCCACTAAAGACCATGTCTAAATCAAGTGCAATAGGCCTTAAAGTAAGCCAAACAACTATCAATGACTTTTATGATTTTCATCCTTGCAAAATGAACCATTCAATATTTAGTGAATCCTATTGTATAATAATTTTTATAAGTTCTATAAATAGATTAAATGGATAGAAAGCATATTTTATAATGTATAAGCTTAGATAAATCTTTTATATTTGTATTTAATATGTGAAGTAAGAAAACAAACTGATTGTATGATTTTTTTTTATTTTTTTTTTTTTTTTTACATGATTTATTTTTACTTGATTGTTTTTTAAAAATACTTTAAATGGGTTGACTAAGTATAGTGAGTGTAATACATTAAATTTCCATTTTTTTTCTTAAAGTTATAAGAACTATATTCAATGTTGTTCCTTAGTATGTTTTTATAATTCAATTTGAATTTTTTTGTGCTCTTTGGTTGTTGATATTTGTGATGTAATCAAATTGCATCAATAGCCATAGTGTACAAACTTATGGCTATTGATAATACCTGTCTTGATTTTAGTTTTGATATATTGGCTATTAGACTTGCTCAATGAATTTTTTAAGTTTTTATGTACAGATTCTTAATTAAAAGGTTGATTGGGCTAGAAGTAGCAATAATAAGAAAATAATAGAACCAATACCACTAGAAGATTATGTGAAGCCATACAAATAAAGAGTGTGGTTTATATTTCCAACATATTATTTTTATAGTATTACATTCTATTTAAAGTTTGAATATATTTTTGCATGTTACTTTAGATTTTCTTAATAAGCTAAATATATGTCAATTTATGCAAGATTAGTAATTTATACATTTTGAACAATTATGATCATAAATTCTTCTTTGCATCATTAAATAGATTAATTTCTTACAACTTGCATATAATCTAATATATTATTTAAATAAGCAACTGCATATATTTATTATTTGTTTCAATATAATTGCAATGTACTAGTAGATACTTGTGAGGCTATGATATTTTGGATAGAATAAGTATGTATATTGTATCTCCAACCTTGGCAGCTTTTACAATATCAAACATTTGCTGCCACTTCAACAATTTTGATCTGTAAAGTTGTACATTGTATAAAAAACTTGTTGTGGCTTGTATAGTTAACTAATCCATATGATTGGTCCTTTGGATGTTTAATTGTTGGATTTTGTAACCTCACGGTTTTTGATGCAAGCTCTATCAATTGAACATGCATTCTTTCTTATTGGTGAGAGAGCAATAATTCAAAAGTTTGACAAATAACATTAAAGATAATTTGAAGGTCTTTGGAAGTTGCAAATACATTCTTCAATGGTAAAAGAGGTATTAGACCAGCAATATTCAAAAAACAATACTAATCATAAAAAAAATCTATTGAAGATATACTTCTAAATTATTGTATAGTTTGAATTGTGAACTTACAAGGTATTTTTAATGTCTTTGTTAATATACTTGTGCAAGAGTTAACATCAAATATCTCTTTGGCACATTTAAATTTTTCAAAGATAAGGTTAAGTATACACATAGATACTTGTTTCTCAATATTTATATATAAAAGAAAAGAAGAATAATACGTTGATAACATATACACATCTTTTCTGAACTTTCTTGTACATTAATCTCTCTTTTTGTATTTCCAAAAAATTAAGATAGACAAATTTATACTTCTTATAAATCTTTGGTAGAAACTTTTAAACATGATTTGAAAGTTGAATGTTGATCTTCAACTCAAGATATGATTACACTTCCAAAATAAAGGTTATTATTGTCTAAGCTTTAATAAATTATTTATTTATGATATCTATATATTTTTTAAATACTTAAGAATTATATGGACATTAGTAGGAGTATACATGGTAAACATGATTGTCCACTCTTCATTGTAAAGCACCTTAGTAGAAGCATTTATCACATTGATTCAATCTACCATAAATATAAATTAACTTGCTTCTATCTTTATGGCAAAATACTTCTTATAGTTTGATAAAATCTTTTTTTGAATATGCTATATTCAAAATAAAATATTAGAAATAGGAAAAATATTTTCAATAGCATTTATTAATGCCAAATCTTTATCAAACTCTAATATAGATGGATTGGATATTTTTATATAATTTGACAAGTTGATTTAAGGCCCAATAAAAAAAATAGTAATAATTAAAAAGATATTTAAGCTGCTTATTTCTACTACATACAACATAAGAATTTAAAATTGATTTGTCTTATAAGTACAATCCATAACAATAGAAGATGTATATTTCTTTGCTAATTTAAAATATTTTATATGTGCAAAAAAAGATGTTACATTATTTTTCTTATGACATTGATAAGTAAATTGATATGCATTACTACATAGGATTTTTATAAGTGAGATAATAGAAGCACAACCATTAAGAGCAATTTGATGTAGTCTTTCATATTTGTTATAAATAATACATACAATAACTCGACTTTTAGGGTTTTTTTCAAATAGTGCAATCACAATATTTTTTAGGAGTACTCATGTTACAAGTATTCAAGGTATCATCTCCTTCTCTACTAGTTGGAGACATGCAATTGAATGTCTTATAAGAGATGATGAAGGACTATGGTTTTGTTCTCTATTTTGTATTGTTAAATGTCATTATGTAGTATCTTAGATACACTATGCATGCAATGCAAATAGACATCCAATGAATCTGCTTGCAATATTTTGTTGACAAATGAGATTAGTTTGCTCAATATAAACTTGTCCTTTATTACATTTAAAATCAATATAATCTTTGTAAAACCAATGCTTACAAATGATATAACCTTAAGTATAGGCAAACTCATTTATATTTTCTTTCATGTCTTCAAAATAACAAAAAATTCCCTCAAGTAGAGGAGACATATGCAACACAATATCTAATACAAAATCTAAATAACATAAAAATAGACCTCATTTACATCAATATCAAACATATTATATCAAACATATTACAATAGAATAATGCAAAGTAAACATCAAACTAGCTTTATATATATATATATATATATATATATTACTGATAATATAAAATAAATGAAAGACACCATTAAATATAGTTGTTGATAAACAATTATTGTTACCAATCCAATAACCATTTGAACTAATCCCAATTTCAAAAAACCATTTTTGAATCAATCCAAAGGAATAGATGAAGTTGACATGCTGTATGCTTTGTGACCATGGATGGTTCGATTTAGTAAAACCTTAAGTCATTTTAACATTTTCCTAAAAAAATGTATTGTTGAATAAGTAGTAGACAACATCCTCAAAATTTGTGAAGGATTTATTTTAGTTAGTAGCAAATTTCAAGTGTTAAAATTTGTTAAGAGAAATAATTGCAATTCTCAATTTCAAAGCAATAAATGGAAAAGAGCAATAAAGAGTTACAAATTCTCTTCCGGACCCTCGCCATTCCAATGCAACCATGCATCACTTTCTTCAGAAAACTTGTATTTACTACTGCAAGATACAATCATGGTAATCACAGGTTTCATCAATCTACCAGCTACTCACTGGATAGCTAATGTGAAGAGGAAGAAGGCTACAGCACTTTGGAATGGAAGATGAAATGGGAAATAGAAGAATCCGTTATTCTAACGCAAATACAAATCTCATCACTCTTCAAAAATCACGACGAATAAGCTGCTGAAAGTACCCAAATGTTGGAACAGGATCCATAAATCTGATCGCGTTTTCTGAGAAAAAGTGGAAGTTAAGCTTATGGTACATAGCTATCACACACCATTGGAGTTTTTGCCAAATGGCTGACACATTGTAGCTGGAAACTGATGTACAAAAGAGCCAGTGAAGCGGTGCAAAATGTTCCACCACTTGCTGGAGCCGAAAATTCAGCATCTCTTCTTCCACTACCTAGTAGTCTACGCTTGAGCTGAAATTGTGTAGAAGCTCGTGTAACACACAATCTTACGAGACCCACATGATTCGAGGGTCTTACTCTAATGCGAGTTTGTCTCAACCTCGCCAGGGAGAATAAATGGGTGCCTCAACGGCTCGTCAGATGAAGTGGGAACTGGGCCAAGCCACCACCTCCTGGCTCACGACACTATCTGTCATGTCCTACTATCCACAGAATGAGAGAAAAAGTTGTCGAAAATACATTAAGAGAACTAAGAGCATCATCTGTGCTGGATTAAGAGTCATTAATACGAGGAGATCATAGCTATTGACCAACCAAGTGTAGAGCTCCACCTGAAATGCTCGCAAGTTCTCTGTCTCTTTCCTGTCTCATCCTTACAAAGACGGGCGAGCAGCGCCTGAAGCCCTAGGACGCTTGCTCGCCCCGCGCCGTTAAATCTCTTGGTCCATACTAGGCACGTACTCGTCAAGCAGCTCCTCAAGCTTCTCTATATTTACGGGCTTAGCAATGAAGTTGTCCATTCCATTCTTGGCACATTCCTGAATATTGTCTGTCAATGCATCTGCTGTCATCTGCCAAGCAATTCGAAAGAAAATCAGCGACAATAGTGGCGATGATATTAAGATCAGTAGAAATCTACATGCTAGGAAGTTCACAAAGGAGTACTTAAGCAGTTGCGCTACAGTGATCATACCGCAATGATTGGTATTCTTCTGATACTCTGGAGGCTCATACCACTTGCAGCTGTTGCTCCTTGATGAGTTCGCACAGTATCATTGATTAGAGCGGAAGAACAAGATTCTTCGTACATCCTTATGTGTCGAGTTGCCTCAAGACCATCCATAACTGGCATGTGAACATCCTGTATTGATAACACATCTTCGGTTCAATTTAAAAAAACACAGGATGCAAGCATACAAGTATATACAGAGACCTCGCTACCAATTTCAACTAAAAAAGATTCTTCAACGTACGTTCATACTTCGTGATTAGGTTGAAAAAGATCAAGGCTTAGTCACAGTGACTAAGATTTTTAAAAGGATACCGCCCTCTAGAAAAAAACTGATTTGATGAGTCGAAAATGTATGATAGCGCTTGCTAACCATGAGCACGACATCGTACGATTCTTGTTTCACTGCCTGTACTGCATCTGCTCCGTTGTTCACCACCTTCAATTCATGTCCTAAAGCAACCATCATTTGAATGGCGACTTTCACATTCACTGGATCATCCTCAGCCACCAAAATTTTAAACCGCCTAGAGTTATTTACTACGTTCGAAATCACTGGTGAAGATCGCGTTTTGTAACGTACAGATCCTCCTTGAATATTTTTGGTCGAAGAAGTATTAGAACGGCGATCTGATTTCGCAGGGTCCTCTATATCAAAGCCTTCTATTGACTTGAAACAAGAATGTAAAGGCGGTCCCTGACTGTCGAGAAGCCTGGAACTATTAGATTTAAGACAATGTCCAATTTCCTCAGATAGTACAGGCTTGGTGACAATAGCTGAAGTAGGTGCTGTTGTTGGATGTGGCTCTTGCTTCTGGGAACGAAACCCAGTAAAATACTTCAGTTGATCAAAATTCGTAGGGCTCGGGGTATTAAATGGAGGTTTAAGAGACTGTTTAGATCGACGATAACCGCGACCTCTGGTTGAGGGATTTAGTAAGCTTTTACGTGCAGGTTTTGAAGAGCTTAACCGCGAAATTTCAGGCGCATCCGTGCACATATTTTCTTTATGGTCCTTCTCCGTCACGCACTCAGGATCGTCATTAGAAATAGGACTACCGGGCAAGTGCTGAACAGTTCGAAGTGGCAACTTGAAAGAAAACGTAGATCCCTCCTTCTCTTTGCTGAGGACACTAATTCTTCCCCCCATCAACTCAGCCTTCAAAAAGTAAGAACCTGGTGAGTGCCTTGTCAAAGAAATTTTCAGGAAGAAGATCCACATTAGCATTCAAATAGTATTTAACCACAAGATAATAAAAAACCATTTCATACCAACTGTTTGCAAATGTGTAACCCAAGACCAGTGCCTCCATACTTCCGAGCATGCGTGCTGCTTGCTTGGGCGTATCTCTTGAACAGCGTTGGAATTGCTCCCTCTGCAACGAATGAAACGAGGTGGTCAGTAGCGTGACTTTCACCCTTACAAAAATTGCATAACAATACTAAGAGTACCTATGATATCCTTGCATCGAACCACTAACAACCACATCATAAAAAATTCAACATAAGCCATTAAGACGTGTGACGCGAATCCGAAAAACCTAGTTTACAGGTATCATATGAAACACAGAAAAAGGTGCAGTTATGGAAATTTCAAAGACGAAAGCACCTGAAATACCGATCCCAGTATCTACAATGTAAAATTCTATCCACATCATATCCTTCGTGTCCTCATCCTTTACTAGAGCTTCCTGACCACCAGCACTTCCATTCGATGAAGGTATCGAACAAATCTGTTCTCCCGTCCGCTGCTTCTTCAAAGAACTGAGCACAACACCAGCCATCTCACTTCTCTGACACTTACTTGAAAGCTTGACAGTTCCAGTGTTTCGGGTGCCACAGCACTGGCACGCTATTGAATCAGAAGAGAATTCACTTTCGTTCCGTAAGAGTGATCTTTGGTCTGCTTCTGAAAAATGAGTAGCACTGTCGCTAACAGGAATTGACATGGGTGTAATCAGCCCCTTCCTTTGAAATATATTGAGAGCTTCTGAAGAAGAGGATACAGGCATAGAATTAGGAAATGCCGAAAGCTCAATTGATCGTTGTGAAGTTTCACAACAATCAAATTCAAATTTACGTTTGGACTTCGTATGGTCCCGAGCGGTGTGAGACGGCGGCCCGACAACACGCACAACAATAGAAACCTTGCCTTCATGAGTAAACTTGACCGCGTTGCTGCAAGAATCGGTAGTTATCGTCAAATCAAGAGTTTCAATTGTAGGAAGTCACAAAATAACAAAACCAAATACCAAGTCAAACCCATTCCAGAGCATCTAATGACAAAAACATATGTAATTGGAGCTGAGCGTTGGAAAACAAACGGCGTCAACTTCAAGAAATAAATAAAACTACGGCCAGAAAAACTGCATTAGATAGATTCATCTATGAATTTGAAGTATCTGGTACCTGACTAAATTGGTAAGCACTTGACGAATTCTGAGTACATCGCCGACGACCTGTAAAAACATCGAAACTTTACGTACAAAGTTTTTACGAAAATAATCCATAGCAATAATGATGCAAATTTCAACAAAGCGAAATTCAGGTAAAGCTTTTCGTGATCCCAACGTATGATGGCTTGAAATATAAACTGAAAGAAGTTAAAAATAAGTACTCACCTCAAGAGGAACATCTTCGGATACGTCCGTTTCAAGATGAATGGTCTTTTTGTCGGCAGCTACAGAAGCGGATGCCATCTGCAGCACATGTTTCACTACTTCTCTTGGTCGGAACTTCTTCTCTTCAAATGTCATTGCTCCTGCAAAGAAATGTGGCGCACAAGAAGCAGTTAGATCCTTAAAAATATTCCTCAAGTTATTCCTATTTCTGAACACTGTTCAAAACAATCCGAGGAAGAAATAAATGTAGCTCTGAGCTAATCAAATGCTCACCAAGGTTTCAAAAGTACGAGCCTAATTTCACATTACGAATTGCATAAAAATCCATTCTCACATACAACATTGTGGCAAGTTTTATATGTGAATGCACTAGCACTGGAAAGACTTGAAAATATACCCGCTTCAACCTTAGAAAGGTCAAGAATGTCATTAATGAGCTTCAACACAACATTGCCTGAAGAAGTCATAAACTCAACGTAACGCTTTTGTTCTTGGTTCAATGAAGTTCGAGCCAAAACTGAAGCCGTGCTTATCACTCCCGACAACGGAGACCGAATCTCATGCGCCATCGTTGCCAGCATTTGCTTGGCTCTCATTGACTCCTCTATGACCAAGTAAAACGGATAATTATTAATACCAACGAGGAAGAACACCCCCGACAGAGACAAAGAAATGAATGAGGCTCATTTGAACACACGTGAAATTCCGACAAATAGGATAAGTTAAAAGGATGATGGATAATAGCTCCCAAATGCAACAGGAACGAGGTGTGACAAATTTAACGTGTTTCGGCCTCTTCCGTACCTGTTATGAAGATGGTTTTGTTAAGTTCAGACTCCATTGCAGCTTGGACTGCATCTTCGGCTTGAATCTTAGCGAGCTTCTCCCTCTTGGCCACCTAAAATGTGACATGTATCAGCCTGAAGTCTATCTGAAATCATGCAGTTACAAGCTCGTGCACATTTCTTCAATCAAGGGTTCTCAACACGCAACTTAAGAAAGAATACAGAATACTATACCTGCAAAGTCACATCCATGGCAACATAGTTCACACCGACACAGACATCGTTCATGTCTAGTACAGGCTCCACAGCAATCATGAACGTCTTGCAGCCAAACATGTTTGTGTTGAACTTTATCTCTTGCTTGTCAGGAACTTTGGTTCGAATAACTTCACGTTTGAATTCCATGAGCTCTGAAACCCCCATCCCCTGATAAATCTCTTCGTCCGTCTTTCCTATAACTTCCTGCCAGATGAAACAATTTGTCAAACTTTTTGAAAGTATAGACATCCTCCTTCGGCTTGGAGAAATACACAGAGTAGGAAAACAGGCATGGGAAAATTTCAAAACCAACAGGAGTAACTCAGACACCTTGAGTTTCATTGATGGAAGAAAAACATCTCTGAACGATAGATTTCTTTAACTTAAATTGCTTAAACTACGTTATGATGCGGTACCAACAAGCGGTGCAGGACACCCTAATCCAAATGGCATTAAAAGCCCAGCACGTATACTGAGCTTTCTGTTTTGTCATCAGTGGTAATCCAAATCACAAATTCACGTACAATGGGCGAGTATTAAATCAAATTTGAATACTACAGTGAGACAATTGTGAAAAGTGCAAATAAAATCACGTACTATGAGCTAGATGGAAAAGCATCCGACTCGTCTAGAACTTCAGAATCGCAAAAAGAATACTAAAATATCCTTACAATTCATCATCGTTAAGAAGTATCCAACAAATCCTAACTATGAGATACCACTTTCAAAATGAATCAATCATAGATCTCGTCAGTCAATACTACAAACAATCTAAGCATTGTAAACTCTTTTCGTATCGATTACCCGAACATATGGATCCCAGCCACATCATCGCGGAGGATGGTAATGAAAAAAAAAAACACACAAAAAAAACAGTACGGACGCTGACAGTTTTGCCTCAAATTTTTCAAAGGTCCATTCTATCACTCGGAGCACGACAGATATACCGCCAATAGCTACAAGTAATTTTTAGGGAACAGAGAAAAGTTCGCGACAAGAGCTGCAATTGCCAAACATATGATCCGTACATGCTATTTTCGCATTAGCAGAGCTCAATCTCAAGGGTTTGAATGTGAAGGAGCATGACATGATTAGTTACTAACCTCTTCGGTGAGTGTTGGAAAAGCATTATGAATGAACCGATAACGCAACTCGGTGTCCTGTGTGCCAGAAGAAAACTATCTCATGTGAGGAAACCAAGTCAGAGAAGAAAAGACCAAAAATCCAATCAACCAAGGTAATTTCTGAAAATAGGGGACAATATACAGCGAGCAAAACACCTTCAAAATCGTTAGAAGGTCGGAGAAGAAGGCGTCTACCAGAGATTAAGAGACAGATCAAGTATACTCCTACTACCTGGTGGCCAAATACTACAGGTGCTTTCCTCACAGTGAACCGCAGAAAGTTGTCAAATCGCTCAAACTGCTGCTGGAGTTCGCCCATCAATCCAGAAGGGAATTCTGCTACAGCATCCTGTAATTTCGTAGTTAGCAACTCCTCCCGTTTAAGGCTTTCGGATAAAAGAGTATCCAGAGTTTTGGCCTTCTCTCGCCAGTAATCCGAGGAGTTCTCTCCCTCGTATTCTGACATCGAGCTAGCACTATCAGGAATAGAACTCCAGGAACTCCCTGCGTCAGAATTGCACATAAAACCCTCGCCAATGCTAACGGGGTCCAGCATTACATCGTCGCCATCTGAACAGCTGAAATTACATTCTGCAGCATGTTCGTCAATAATCTCCTTCTTTTTTCTTTCAGATTCAAACCTTCTCTGCTGTAAAGCATCCAGTTGCTCCCTCAGCAATCCGACCGCATTGACTTGGTGGTTTTTCCACATCCTCACAAGTGAATCTCTATGGCGTATTGCTGTTTTGCTGGATCTCATTAAATCCTCAAACCTCTGCTCATCAGCAAATGTGTTATCTCTTTCAAGAAGCTGCTCCAGATCTATCGTAGGTTGCAGCAGATCCCTCCGCTTATCTGTCTTCATCAAAGCTTGCGTTGTAGCAGGCCACATGGACCTTTGCTGAAAATCCACCATGTCTGGAGGTTGCGAATAGCCGCTCGACTCGGGAGCTATACCCATGGATGGGTAAAACAACTGATCCGATGTTCAGTTTTAACTTCAAGGAAAAGTGCGCCTCTCACACAATAATAATCTGGTCTTTCCCGCGCCGGCCCCTTTTGCCATGCATGGTCACTGAGGTAGAACCTCGACTGCGTGTGAGTGGCTTTCTCCGTTTCCGAGACAAGTTTGAGCCCTTTCCTTCAATTATGTGTGCCCTCCGAGGCCTGAATGTTCGATGTAACTTTCCACGGCTGTCTTGCATCACCTCTTTGATACTACTACAGGGGTCCGCACCGAAAAGTCCGTCCGGATAATGCCTCAGAATATTGAAATGATTTTACCATGATGTAAACTTTTTTCGTAAGAAAAATTCTTTAAACATTGAACATGTCGTGTCCCCGAACCCTTGTTTTCAATGTAGTAGCCACTTAATCCGCTCTTGGGCATCAGAGGTTCACCCTCTTCCAGTACAGAAGCCAAATGCTTTTTACCCGCAGTTTCGAGTGAAGAAAATATCAGACACCAAGAACGGAGTAGTCGAGTATACAGAGTCGGTTCATAGACTTTTTGGAATCTGCGGACCCAAGGAACCACACTAATATCCCCCACACGCCGATTTCTCCAGCAACCTAGTATTTTAATTGTAGAGACTAATCAATACCTCAAAGATTCCATTACACTACAATAATCAAACCTCGAAATACACAACAGATTCCAGAGAAATTCTTTCACTGTTAGACGGTCACTGATTCATTCTTGTCTTCGAGTACACAAGCATAATGATCTGCCCTCGCGCCACAACCTACCCCATTCTCAACTGTCAATGGCAGAGCTGAAACTAACGCTCATTCACGTACACCGGCATCGCTACGGCAGAAGATTCTTTCAATACGGTTCGGGACCTGGACAGTGTTGTCGACGCAAGAACAGACAATTCTACACAGACAACACCTCCATTGCACCATGGTCGCGGTGACCAACGAAATTCCTCAACCCCGCGCAGTGCAACCCTCGAGCCTCGAACTAGAGATTCCAAAATCTACTTTCGTAAACACTTAGAATCACAATATATCCATCGTCGTGTCTAAACACAAACTCTCCGAATTTTCCTATACCGGGACTCCAACCTACCTACACAAAATAATCCATGGTGAAGCAAAAAAGCTTTCACAGATGCTAAAGCGTGGTTCCGTCCTATTTCGTGCCGAAAATCACAATCTAATCCCACCTGAATCTCTCCTCCTCTCTCATGAAGCCACCTCCCATGGCCCACTCATCAAGCGCCCCCTGCCACAACCGCAACTACAATCCTTCAACTAAACGCTACGAACGCAGCAACCAAAACAAACAAAATAAAAATAAAAAAGCACTGGCACTTACATCATCACACCCTTGCGGCGTCAACGCAGCAGCTCCCAGGCCTCACGTCCAGTTTCTCAGAGCCGCAGAGTGCTTGTCAGTCCGTAGTAATGGCTAGATTCTCATTTATCTTATCAAATGAAAATACTCTTCTATACTAGCTCCCTCACCTCTCTCTCTCTCTCCCTCCCTCCCACTCTCCCACACACACGCACTCACTCTGTCAACACAGCTCCTTCAGTCCGTCAATAAAACCCTGACACGAAAGGAACAACAGGATCCGCTACTCCCCTCCATGCACTCCACACAGAATGACGACTGATTCGAACAAAGTACGGACAAGCCAATATGCCGCGATTGGAAGGACAGTACGAACATCCAAGCGGGCGACTGAGGAGGTGGTAAGAAAACGCTCGTCCCCTGGCTGGCTGCTGCTATTCCTTCTCCTTCTCCTTCTTCGTCTGCGTGTTGGTCTCGGCAGCGTGTCCGCTCCGAAACAAGCCCTGACCGCGATTTTCCGCAAAATATCGAAATGTTAAGTTGGTGAATGGGGACGACTGATTTAGGTGGAACTGCGCGGCCTACCAGACGGCTATCCAAGATTAGGATGCCGGGTGACGACCGACGGATTGTAGTTGAGCAAGGAAGGAAGGAAGGACACGGAGTCTCGTTGTTTAACTTATTGGGGATGCGCCAGAATAAACAAATAAAATAAATAAATAAAATAGCCTTGTCGGGGTCCGCCCTGCACGAGCCCGCCCCCAGACCTGGCTGGCCCTGGTTCCCGAGCCAACCATCCATCAGGTAGTGCCTCCCTACCCGTGCACCCCTGCATCCATCCGTTCACAATTCTTTCGGAATTGCTGGAATGGAACCACTGCCATTGTTCATCCTCGGTGGATGAATTCCGTCTGATGTCGGTCTTCCCCCCATCTGACGCTGGAATATCGCGTTTCACATCGTGACAAAAAGTACATGAAATATCCATATTCACACAAATGTTGCAATCAGCATTTATTTTTTATTAGGAGTCATCAAAGTGTCATGTGGAGAGATGCATATCATGGCTTGGAGCCATGAAATGCAAAGATGGATGCTGAATTCACATAGTTGCAAAAGATAATTGCAAAAACAATGAAGATGGATAAAATAGTATAAACATTTTTTTGTCTTGTGGATTGATTTCAAAGTAATTTTGGGACACTAGTGAGAGAGTTTGTGACATAAGCAAGCCCCCTTTATTTGTTTATTTACACATACACATATGTATATTTTGTTCTTACTGTGATATGTTTTTTATCTTCCATAATATGTTCAAAGTTTTTTTGCTATCCATCAATGCCTTGGATGTTAACAATCTTCGGCAAATGCCGCAATAGGGAAGGATGGTACATTAAGAAGTTAAGATAAATATGCAATCAGTCATACCATTGCTGTGAATCTAGGATAGAATCGGTGATTAGGAAACTTTTTAGGCATTATAAGAACGAGTGAAGGAACACATCTCTTACTCTCTTTCTCTTTGAAAATCAAACATTCAACACTGAGTAAACGCAGCAAGTTCATTTATCATGTTTTTGGAAGTATTTTGGTTACACAGAACAATGTAATGTTTTGTACTCAAATGAATATATGAGAAAGCATTGGCTCATTGTCTTTGAGGTACTCGTACAATTGACAATGTTGCAAAGAAATACTGTACCAAAGGAAGCATTTATGTCCTGGGTGGGTCTTTATATTGCAGTCCTTGTTCCACAATGTGCCACTTACCAGCATAAGCCTGAGCTAACACTATCATGTCCAAAATAGCCAGGTCACAGAATCAATTAATTTGATACCAGCAAGGAAGCCATTGCACCCAAATATTATAAAATAAGTATGTACCATACATCCATAAATTGGATCTTACCTCTAGATTTGATGCAGTTGATGACACAACACAGTGAACCATCCTTGATTTGTCCATGTACAGACACTGTTGGATAACTCTTCGTCTGCAAACTTTGACATGTGGGTTTTCAAGCCATAATTGCTTTGAGTGTTTTGGAGATTCAACTTTAGTGACAGTGATGGTGGAGCTCAGGAAGCCAGTACATGGGACATGCCCAGGTTAAGAACAACCAGCTTCCTCTACAGTGAACAATTCAGCATTGAGGGAGATGAAGAATTCATAAGAGATGTTTCACTGCACAGACATGGGTTTTTACAAAAATTCCAGCAGCCATCAGAGTGATAAAAATGAAGTAAAAAATAAATTGAGGATGTCAACATACTGCTGTATTGCAGCCTCAATGTGAAACATCCAGATGCTGCCTCCCAGTTGCAGGATGCTTTTCCCCCTTTGTTGAACTATATATAGTCTTTAGTGACATGGAGGCAGCAGCAACAGGGAGCAGCTCTTGACTAGGGGTGAGAATGGCAATCTGGTTGTGTGCATTTACACTTGGAACTATGCAAAATTACTGTTCCCTTTGTAGGTTTCTTAAAGTAGTAGCAGAAGGAGGAGGAGAAGAAGAATTCAATTCGATTGTCCACACAGGATATCCTCTAACCTCAGCTTTCAAACCAATAAAATTGATGCATATGTTCAGATCATTCAGTGGATGGGAGGGCTGCTTTTCTAGTGTGTATTTTATTGATAGTACACTCTGCCAGACACTAAAGGACACTAGCTCTCCCACCTGTCTGGGGGAGCAGTAGCAATGGAATTTAGTTACATTTAAACCCCATGGGACCACAGCAGACTCAGCAAATCCATTTATTCAAAATTTTATATGTTCAAGTTTATTTATGTGTTTTTTTTTATTTATTTATTAGGACTCATCACTGTGCTTGGTGGCTGATTTGAGGTACAGGGCCCCAATTTATTCTTTCCCACAACCATGGAATGCATTGAAACTTGGGTGGCAGACCATCCATGTTCCTACCTCCAAAAGGACCTGTTAAAAACCAAGTTCCTTTGGGCTCAAGGATCTGGGACTGGATTCTAATCCTTCCCAGTTTTGTATATGTGATTCCAACACTCCTCATCAAACAGCAGGAAAGGATCCCCATGGATTAAGAACCCTGACTGCAAATTCAGTTTGAATAATATTCATTTGTGTGTGTATGTATATATATATATATATATATATATTCATATGTTTTTTTCACATGCCTTAGACAACAATAAGCTGACCAGTACTCTACATGCAAACCAAGAATTTGGGAATAAATCTCCAAAATTTTGAAAAAAATCCTATGCTTTTAAATTCAAAAATGATTTTGAAATATACATACTGCATACTAGAGTTCTCAAACACATTACTATCTCTACAAAATACTCTGAAATTTCAGCAGCAGCAGATGCTGTTCTCTTTTGCCAGCAGCTGCAATTGACAAAAAGAATAAAAATAAAAATAAAAATGGTTGAAGGCAGCTCCAGAAGCACCCAGAAAAGCTCTTGCTTTTGAATGACAAACAAACATGCAACATATTGGGAGAGAAAAACACAAAATAAATAAAACACTAATGTTCTCCTCCCTGGCTATGCATCACCTGGCTTCAGAATTAGCCCCTTAGGCCTGTTTGAGTTACTGTCAAATTCACTAGGTCATCACCCACATGCATTCCTATGGCACATAATACAACTGTATAATATGTTACAATATTACACAATGCTATACAAAATAGTGCGATTTAATAGTGGATATAGTGTTGCACAGTATAGTGTCAGATTGGGCATCTCAACTCTCAGGCCCCCAACTGCCCTCCTAATCCTAGACGGCGAAGTAGGAGTAGGTCAGAGTAGGGAAGGCATCAAAAAGCAAAGAAGATAGCATCGAACCCTGGAGTATAGAATAGACAAAGCCTCCTCCCTACTCCTCTCCACCTCTTTATAAAGGAATCAGGTTGAACTGGAATTAGCATCCCCAACTCCAGCCTTACAATTTTAAGGGCCCACCGAGAAAATGAAGTAGAAGAATTAGAAGGAAACAAACAACAACAACAAACATAGTTCTTCATGCGAGTGTGAGAAAGAGAGAAAATTAAGCATCCACGGCTGCCACTTTCGAGGTTTCGGTGCGTCTGTTCATCGTCGAAGCTTTCTTGAGGATCAGCCCCAGGGCCGGCATAAATGTGCCCCTGAATGAAGGCTCTAATTCCGTAGGGTTTTTTCATTATCCCACCTCGGAGCCGATTTAGCAGGCTTCCATTCCTTGTCGTGATTCTATTATTGGTTATAAGGGTGGACTCTAATACTGTTGATTCTATTTCCAGGAAGTGAGAACGTCTTCGGGAAAGGGAGAGAATCTGGCTCTAGAGATTCTCCGTTTCCTCACTTTTTTATATTCCTAGTGTCTTGACTATTCAGTGGTTTTTTTATCGAGTCTCTTTGGTTATTCTTGTGGCAGTCTTTTGCAAAGCATCTTCATCTTCACAGTTATGTGCTAAGTTTGTGTCGATTCATGTTTAGTACTTTTCACATATTTAGTGAGGTTTGGAGTCTAGCCAAAGCTTATAGAAGACACAATATCCCCCATGTGCATGAACGAACCGATTTAAAAATTCAGTTTTTTTCAGTTTTTTCTTTTGCAGAAAACCTTCCCCTATGTGGGTTTTTGTCTCATGCTGAAAATAGTTGGCATGAGATTTTGTTCATTCCCAAATAATTGAAGTGTTCATGAATAAAGTTTTAAAACGGAATCAAGTCATCCCGGATAATATCATTAATAACTACCACCTTGATTAAACACATGGTGATTTAATTACCCCATTTAGATACATTGTTGTTAATGTTATTATGATGAAGCTGGTTGTATTTTTGGGGGCTTGTTTATTTTCATGGACCCAAGGAATATTATGAGAGTAAATTCCAAACAATAACAACCTGGGAAGCCACGGCTTATGGGGAAGGAATGAAAGTATGAGTTTGTTGTTGTCCACCAAAGAATCGATAGGGATATCTCCTTGAAACCAATGAGGTTCAGATGGAATTTTCTCTTCCTTTTTTCCTCCTATTATTAGATCATGAAAGGTGGCCTCTACGTTGTAAGAATTACGCCAGCTTGAATTACTGGATGTGCTGAAACACTAAAAGGCTCTTCTACTTCCTAGACTATTTGCAGTGTGATCATAAACACATAAGTTCACTTTGTTTTGTTTGTGCTTTTATTAAAGAGGTGAAGGCCTTTTTGTCTTTTTTCAGACCAAGTGAAGCCTTTTAAAATTTGTTTGTTGTTTAGTTGCCACCTCCAATGCAAGAAACAACAGGCAAGGATTTCTTGAATATGTAGTAAGGCAATTGAAGACAGTTTTATGTCCAAAATGTGATGTGGAGTAATCGGTGAGAATTATCAAAGGGGGGAATTATCAGGTCAAGTCATTCTAATTAATACACACTACTACCTCCTCTTCAACTAGTCTTATTTCTATCTTATTAGCAAAAAATATCATTTTGGGAAAGTGGGTTTTTGTTGCTATATTGGGTTGATGAAGAAGAAGAAGAAGAAGAAGAAGAAACTAATTGAACCTTCTTCATTCCTCATGTTTAGCAAGCACTTAGCTTGGAGAATGACTCACTGGATGAGTAAGTGGAGACCAAAAGTT